GGGGAGAACACTGAGATCATTCTTCTGTGATACGTGAATCATAAATATTTTAAATGCCAATTGGCAGTCAGTCCCCTGTATTCATTAGATAAAGGTGCAATAAAAATCGGATATGCCATGACCGGGCCTATTTACTGAACAAGTGAAACTATGTGCTGGGGCCCAGATGGTTTGATTTTCCGAGATACTCCTTTGTCAAAAAAATGTTTCGCGAGAAGTGCAGATGGCATTTCGATTTTGTGTTTACAAAGGCGGAGGAATTTAGCTTTTCCCGGGGTCCTAATGGCTAGAATGCATGCAGGGAGGACAAACAAAAACATCGGGTGGAGGGGCGCCTGGGTGGCGCAGTCGGTTAAGCGTCCGACTTCAGCCAGGTCACGATCTCGCGGTCCGTGAGTTCGAGCCCCGCGTCAGGCTCTGGGCTGATGGCTCAGAGCCTGGAGCTTGTTTCCGATTCTGTGTCTCCCTCTCTCTCTGCCCCTCCCCCGTTCATGCTCTGTCTCTCTCTGTCTCAAAAATAAATAAACATTAAAAAAAAAAATAAAAAAAAAAAAAAACATCGGGTGGAGAGGCTAATTACTGGACAGAGGGCCAGGAGCCAGGCTGCCTGGAGAGGAAGTAATCACACGGTACCACGAAAAAGGAGCCGAATAGAGAGGTGGGGGGATCGTGGTAAGCAGAGGGGAAGAGAGGCCCCGACAGACCTCACTGCACCGTGTGGCTAACAGGATTAGCGCATTTCTGCTTCTTGCCAGTTGACTCAACCATTGTTCTCCGGGTCTGAAAAAAGCCTCCTGTAGACAAAACACGATCTCGGCCTTATTCCTCACCCAGACAGAAAAACAACTGAAAAAGGGAGCATTTTTGTCTACCCTGAGTGTGTGTCACTGGAAGATTTCACCATTAGACGAGGAAAACGGTCCACTCCACTAGCAGGTTGGGGGAAAAAGAAAAAATGAAACAGGTTTATTGTATTACCAGGGGGAAAAAAATCCAAGATACAGTGGAGTAGAAAATGCACGTGTACTGTGGATAACGTAATCCTAATGCTGGAAGTAGGGATGGGGGAGGAAGAGAATATGAACGAAACTGCACCTGTTTTGAATGGCGGTTTGCTTCAGAGAGCGGAATCACAAGAGACTTCTACTTTCCTAGCTCAAGCATTTCTATAATGCTCGAATATGTTTTAGGAGGAGCATGGATGCTTTTCACAGTCACATTAAAACCATAATCAACAAAAAAACATGCACTTGAAATGGATCCATTGGCAGAAGGTCCGAACTCTGTCTTGGGAAGCGGTCTTTTCTAGATGAGCAGCTATACGCTACTGGGGGTAATTCCTTCAATGTCATAAACACTTATCGCCAAGTGCTTGGCATGCCAGGCCCTGCACGGGGCACCGGAGATGTGAAGTGAAGGAGCACCCAGTGGGCTGGGGAGGCAGGTGTGTGAAACACTAAGTACCTGTGTCAGGAATGGCAAAGGCATTTTGCGGTGGCCAAGAACCTTTATTACCACTTTCTTGGACCGGGCCTTGACCTCTCTCCTGTTAGTGTAAGAGCCTTCTAACTGGTTTTTCAAAAGCCACTCCTCGCCCACACCACGGTCCCGTCTCCATATGGCTGCTGGAGGGAGCTTTTTAAAAAAGTATATCAGATGATGTCATCTCACACCCCCTCACCGCCCCCCCTCCAAAGTCTTCCCACAGAGAATAAAATTAAAGATCCCTCCCAGGGTCTTTAGGGTCCTGAGTGAACTGGCCCCTGCCTATCTGTCTGGCTTCCCCTTCTCCCCTCTCCTCCTAGCTAATGCTACTCTAGCCACCTTCTTGTAGTTCCCAGAGCTAAGCTGCTTGCTGTCCCAGGACCTTTGCACATGCTGTTCCCTCAACTCTGCCTCTCCCTTCAGTCCTCGGGTCAGCCTCAGAGCCTTCTCTGACCACCCAATCTAACCCAATCTGAAGTACATGATACTGCTAATTTTATAAATTATAAAATTTATAATCAGGGACGCCTGGGTGGCTCAGTCGGTTAAGCGTCCGACTTCGGCTCAGGTCAGGATCTCACGGTCCGTGAGTTCGAGCCCCGCGTCGGGCTCTGTGCTGACAGCTCAGAGCCTGGAGCCTGCTTTAAGATCCTATGTCTCCCTCTCTCTGCCCCTCCCCCGTTCATGCTCTGTCTCTCTCTGTCTCAAAAATAAATAAACATTAAAAAAAATTTTTTTAATATTTATTTAAAAAAATAAAAATAAAACTTATAATCAATAATTTTATATTGATTTGATGTTGAAATAATGTTTTGAATATACTGAGCTAAATAGAATATGCTATTAAAATTATTTCACCTATGCCTTTTTACTTTTCAATGTGGCTACTGGGAAAATTTAAATGATGTATGTGGCTCCCATTATATTTCTATTGAACAGTGCTGGCCTCACAGGCATATATTGCTTTGAGCACATTACAATTGATTTGACCACTCACAGAAGGTGGGCAGGGGCCTTGTAGTCAGAAAAACAAGTATTACTTGAAAGTGTTATAAAAGAAAAAGGAGGGGCGCCTGGGTGGCTCAGTCGGTTAAGCATCGGGCTCTCGATTTCCGCTGAGGTCATGATCTCACCATTTGTGAGACGGAGCCCCTTGGTCAGGCTCTGTGCTGACAGTGGAGAGGAATTCTCTCTCCCTCTCTTTCTGCCCCTCCCTTGCTCTCACTCTCTCTCTCTCTCTCTCTCTCCCAAAATAAATAAATATTTAAAAAAGGACATTAAAGATGAAGTATTCTAAGACCAAAACATTTTGCAGCATGGCATAGTGATATTAATACCTTATGTACAATTCACGTCTTATGTTCTCACACTTGATGTCTCATTTGCTTTTTATAATAACCCCATAGGGCCAGTATAATTGATTCCATTTTACAGCTGAGGCTCAAGAAGTGACGTGACTTCCCCAGAGACAGTTCTGCTGATCTCCATGTATAGTGGAACCCTGTGCGCCCAGGGCTGTGCCAAGCGCTCAGCATCCATGACCTAATTTAACATTTGCATTAATACCACGAAGTGGACATGTGTCCCCATTTTACAGATCAACAAACTGAGTCCCGAAAGCTGAAGGGACTTGCCCAGAGCCACACAGAAAGTGGCAGAGGGGACATTTGAACCTGGCTCCATCTCTGAACCATTAATCATACCGTTCTGCCTCCGTGACTACATAGTGGGGCGTTACTGTTAAAAAAAACCAATTTCTGATACGGAAATATCAGGTGGAAAATAAGGTGGTAAATACCTATTGTCACAGATGAGAAAACTGCCCCAGAAAGATTCTAGGGCAGGAGTGATGACCGTGTTTTCCAGGGACTGGTCTTCCCACTGCTCCGCCCTGACCTCCAGGGTTGCTCACATCTTTCTCCAGGTTCTGCAAATTCTCTCTAAAGGCCTTGCCCAGCCTCAGGTACCCACTGGGCAGTCAACAAATACTAACTGATTTACTAATTGCATTAAAATGATATTTCCCAAAGCATCGTTGTCCACCCCCCCCCCTTCATTTATTTTAGTAAAGCATTCATTCGATACATATTTAACAAGCATACCCAACATCTTACATTGTAATGGTTTGGTGCAGGAGTTTCAGATTTGAGGGCTTTCGCAAAACTTGGCAACTGAAACATGCTGGAACAGGAATTACTGAAGTCTTTCTTCGAAACAAAATGTGATGGGATAGTGTACGCGTTAGCTGCAGGGTATTTAGAAATGATGGTGTCCAGTCGGGCACGCTGTAAGGGGAAAGCCAAAGGCATCAGCAGTCTTACATAATCTGGGGGCCCCAAAGGACAGACGTCAAGGGGATGATGCCCAGCACTACGTCCAAAAGCAGTTTGTAAAAGCTGAAACTCTAGCCGGTAACAACGATAAACTGACCTCAGGCTTTGAGGATTTGCTCTTGGAGGATGCGAGTTCTGGCCTGTTTTAACTTCTGTAAACTAACTCAAGTTATTCATCTTATATTTGGGACTTGGCAAAAATAATGTTGCCATAAATGCATTGCCACCCAATCCCATTTGAGGCCACTTATTCTTGACTCATCAGCTGTTGGGTAATTCATATGATGGGAAGCTTTCAACTTTCTTCCTCCAGCCAAGGCTTTCCTTCTGAGTAAAACCCCACGTCTTACTTCTAAGATTAAGTAATCTGAATTGCTCAAATAACAAGTTTGCTTCTAATGTCTTAAAGGCACAAGGGTCCATGGGGCTTGCTGTCCACCTGTGCCTCCGATCCCTCACCTAATGGCTGATTTCAAAAAACCCTACAATATCTTTCTGTTTCAGTAGAACTGATCCTATTCCTTCCAGGAAGCCACAATAAACTATTTTCAGTTAAAAAAAAAAACAAAACACAAAAACAAACAGAATCAATGTTTGCCAAATGAAAAGGGGCAAAAGCCATAGAAACTTGGTGATAACATCACTTTACCCTAGGATGGTATGGCAAGTATTGGAGTCTGATAAAACAAACGAGAAAATTCTCATTATTTTATGGTTAAAAGCTTGAGAACACTGCTCTGGGTTTTCCTCAGCGGGATAGGGGTCACTACCTATACAAACACAGCGAGTGGGTGAGGCTGTGGGAAGGCACGAACCCCCACCCCCACCAACTTCTCGCCCTTGCTCGGTTGCAGTGGGTCCCAACATTCAGTCTATGGACCACCGATGGTACGTGGGTGGATGTGCTCCCAGGGGCAAGAATGTTCTTGTCCAGAGTCCCAGCTGTTCAGAGTCGAGCCTGGGTTCAAGTCCCAAGTCGGCCTCCCCCTGTGTCCGGATTCACTGATGTTCCCAGAAGGAAGGTCACCCCAGCCCTGTATGCACTTTGCCTTTGAGTTTTGGGCAATAGTTAACTGAGTACTTTCCACGGGTTGTTGCATTTAATCCTCATGAAAAACCTGGGGAGTGGTTATTGTGATTATCCCGAATTTACAGATGAGGAGACTGGACTTTCTCCATCAGATAAGGAGTGGAACCAACATTATCACCCAGGCAGTCCGCCCCTACTATATGGTATGGATTAGATACCTCATTCTTTTTTTTTTTTTTTT